GGGGGGGGGCATCGACCCCTGATCCCCCACGCATCGCCCACAGGGGCCCGCGCGGCTTCGGCACGGGGGACCCGTCGCCGATCCGTCGGCGATGCATCGCCGATTCCAGGTCGACGTGCCTGCTGGAGCTCGCATCGGTGCCGCCTCGGTCCCCTATCGCCGATTCCAGGTCGATGTGCCTGCTGGAGCTGGCATCGGTGCCGCGTCGTTCCCCCAGGATCAGGATCCCACGCGTCGTGCCCGAAAGCCACGACGGAGGGGTTCTTGTGTTGTGTGCGGCACCTCTGCAGGGGGGGCCCTCGCCTGGGCCTGGGGGCAGGCAGCGAGGCAGCTGTCGGGCCGAGGAGCCGGCCCGCGAGGAGGGGCCCAGGCGCTCCTGTCGGGCCGAACGAAGGGGGGGGACAGGGCAGGGGACGGGGGGCTCCTCCTCCTCTTTCTCCTCCTCCTCATTCCTCCTCCCTCCTCTCCTCGTTCCTCCTCCTCCTCCTCTCCCTCTCCTCCTCCTCCTCCTCTCCTCCTCCTCCTCCTCCTGCCTCCTCCTCCTCCTCCTTTTTCTCCGCCTCCTCCTCCTCCTTTTCCTCCTCCTCCTCCTTTTCCTCCCCTCTCCTCCTCCTCCTCCTCCTTTTCCTCCTCCTCCTCCTCCTCCTCCTCCTCCTCCTCCTCCTCCTCCTCCTCATCCCCCTGCTTTTCCTCCACCACAGGAGCGGAAGAAGGACGGACACGTACATGAATCCACGTTGGTTTCGAGAGTACTCAAAAAGCGCGAATGTTCTTATCAGGCGGCCGGTCTCGCGGATCGAGGGGCCGTGTTCGTGTACATAGTTGGGCGCGTGCGTCCTTTGAGGGCTCCCTAGATAGGGAAAGGGGGGGTTACGAAATCTGTTGCAGGCAGCTGGTTTCGGCCCCGCCGTCGGGCCCATTCCTCGATGCACGGGCGCCTCCCAGCGCCGGGAGGCGCTGGGAAAAGCAGCTACGCGAGCTGATTCTCAAGCCCCCCCTTTGCTATCCCCCCCCTTTTGCCCGGCCCAGGCCTCTGGAGGTCCGACCTCTTAAGCAGTGGCGAAGCGTCTTGGCCCGCCCATAGGCCCACCCAAAGAATATGTTCTAAGAACCTATCTGTGGTCTGCACGACATGTGATTCGAACAGTTCTGGCCGAGACTCTCTTGTTTCACCACGTCGGGCGCATGTTCCAAGAACATGTCGTGGCAGGCCTCTAGGAATGCCGGGACGGTCGGCCCCTGCTCAGACTCGACTGGACGTAAGAGTGACCTTTCGCCAGAGTGACCTTTGGTGCGGGCACAGATGGGTCCCCAGATGGCTGAAAACGAAGCAGCAGCAGTTGCTTGCGCGCCCAGGTTTGGCCCCCCCGCGGCACCAGAAAACTGGCGCACCAAAGGTCACTCTTGCCCAGGGTCACTCTTGCGTACAGCCGACAGACGTCGGGGACCTTTCCGACCCGATCGGCTCGCTCCGATGCCGGCCTCGGCCAGCGCCCCGACGCGAGCCCGACGCTCCGACGCGGCCCCGCTGCGGCCCGGTGCCCGCGCGGCGCCGCTCTGTGCGCCCTGGCGCGGCTGGCCCGGTGGTGGGCGCGGCGGCGTGCTGGGTGCGGGCCCGGTGCGACGCACGCTCCGGACTCGTCGATGCGGTGTTGGCCGCTCCTCGAGTTTCGGCCCCCCCCCCCTTCGCCCAATGTCGAAACGCGCTGAGACAAAGACCACGGGCCACACTGGGTTCTGTCAGATTTTCTGGCCGTTCCTCAGATCTGGGAAGGGGATCCGATTCGTGGCCTAGGCTTGCCAGTGCCACAGAAAACTCCTTCGATCCTTGTTTGGCGTCCCTCATGGTAGCTCCTCGATCCTCAATCGATCCTGAATCATCCATCGATCCTTATGGTAGCCCCCTGTAAGAGGCAAGAGCTCTTCGATCTCAATCGTCGATGGTGGGGCCCGATGGCACGACACCGTCGCTCCGAGGCGGTGATGTACGCGAACGGCGTCGCGATCTCCTTCCTGGAGGCCACGCCCTCATCATGCCCCTCCTCCTCCTCCAACCTGTAGTACAAGAAATTTCGCGACTGCAGTACAGCTGTAATGCAACTGTGGCCGTTTACGCTCCCCCCCATGCATGCCCAGGTGGCTCCCATACATGGTATTGAGCCGGTCTTGTCTATCAGGTTCGTCCTGTGGTTCGTCGTCGTCGTGTGTTGTTGCATGTTGTGGAGAGAGTGTTGCTTGTTGGTGTCATGCTGGGAAATGTATGTCGATGCTGAGTCTGCTTGGTGGTTGTACTGGACGTTCTCGATTGGATGTTGTGGTTTGGTGGGATTACTTACTGGTTGTTGGTGGTGGTGCTGGTGAGTGCAGATGGGTCCTCTGTTGCTGCGCATTCGATACCAAGCGCCCCTCCCCCAGGTATGCCTCATGGGCTCCCTTGCAGAGAAAGTGGCGGGCATGGAGTCTCCCGAAGACGACGCTCAGAAGCCTTCTAGTAGCACGGCTGATGTTACGGAGTAGACTTTCAGGAGCTGCCTTGCCTTACCTTGCCTCCTCCTCCCCCTCCTCCTTCTCCTCGCTCCTCGCTCCTCCTCATTCTCCTCCTCCTCATCATCATCAGCATAACCATCATAATCGTCATCGTCATCTTTTTCATCATCATCATCATCATCATCATCATCATCATCATCATCATCATCATCATCATCATCATCATCATCATCATCATCATCATCATCATCCGCAGCAGCATCATCATCATCATCATCAGCATCATCATCATCATCATCATCATCATCATCCTTCTCCTCCTGCCCATACTCCTCCTCCTCCTCCTCTTCTTCGTCCTCTCCCTCGTCCTCCTCCTCCTCCTCCTCCTTCTCCTCCTCCTCCTCATCGTCATCCTCCTGCTCCTCCTCCGCCATCCTCCGTCCCCTCCTCCTCCCTCCTCCTCCTCCTGCCTCCTCCTCCTCCTCCTCCTCCTCCTCCCCTCCTCCTCCTCCTCCTCCTCCTCCCCCCCCTCCTCCTCCTCCCCCTCCTCCTCCTCCTCCTCACTCCCTCCCTCCCTCGCTCCATTCCTTTTCCTTCTGAATGACTCTTCCCTGTCGCACCCCGAGGTCGGTCGAAAGGGCGGGCCAGGCGTTTCGCCTGAGATTTCCGCACCATGTCTGATCCTGAAACTTTGACGTTGCAAGATTTTCACGGATGGAGGGCGGCCCATTTTCAAAGTGTGTTTCTCCCCTCAGCGCCGTGGACATCCGTTTTTTAAAGCTTGCAAGAGAATCACGGATGGAGGGCGGCGCGGTTTCAAAATGCGGGTATCGCTTTAGCGCCGCGCACATCTGTTTCGTTTTCAAAGTGCGGCCGCGCACATTCGTTTTAAAAGCTTGCACCCGGTTCCAAGGATTCTCATGGCTAATGTTCCAGACATGGTGTTTTGGCACGATGTCGGAATGTCAGGGCGCAGCAGTCACATTGATCTGCGGTGCTGAAGTCCCAGAAATGGCGTTCTGGCACGCTTCTGGATCGTCAAGCCGCAACAGTAGCGGTGATTCGCGGCGCTGATGTCCCAGTAACGGCGTTCTGGCACAATTCCAGATTTTCAAACGGTTATCTTCCAACGGGGCATTTCCCTCAGTGACAATGAATCCGTGCAGGGGCTTATGAAGAAGGAAAAAAAAAAAAAAAAAAAAAAACTTGGAGGGAGGGTGTATTGCAATATCGTTGATGAGCCTTGTTTACACTGGTAACGGTTCCTCCTCCTCCAACGCCTCCTCCTCCTATTCCTCCATCCCCTCCCCCTCCTCTCCTCCTCCTCCTCCTCTCCTCTTCCATCCTCCTCCTCCTCCTCCTCCTCCTCCTCCTCCTCCTCCTCCTCCTCCTCCTCCTCCTCCTCCTCCTCCTCCTCTTCAGCCTCGAAGCAGGAAGCAGACCCCTCCCCTGAGAGGCCGCGCTCGATCGCCGCGAGCGGGCGCTGGAGAGCCACCCGGGCCTGCTGCCGCCCCTGCCGCCCGGCGTGACGCCCCAGCGCCTCGAGGGGCCGGCAGCTCGGCCGGGCGAGTCTGCGCCGCCGCCGTCGCCGATGCCGTCGTCCCCTCCTCGAGTTCGACACCCGTCGTCCTCCGCATCGTCGTCGTCCTCGTCCTCCTTCCCCCTCCTCGTCCTCCTCCTCCTCCTCCTCCTCAATAACTCCCTCCTTTTCCCTCCTCCTCTTCCTCCTCCTCCTCCACCTCCTCCTCGTCCCTCCTCCTCCCTCCTTTTCCTCCTCCCACGTCCTCCCTCCTCCTCCTCCTCCTCCTCCTCCGCCTCCTCCTCCTCTCCTCCTCCTCCTCCTCCATCCGCCTCCTCCTTCCTCCTCCTCCTCCTTCCTCCTCCTCGCCCCCCTTCCTCCACCGCCTCCTCCTCCTTCTACGACGCCTCCTCTTCTTCCTCCGCCTCCTCCTCCTCCTCCTCCTCCTCCTCCTCCTCCTCCTCCTCCTCCCCGTCCTCCTCGAGGTTCCAGGCTTTCAGACGTTTTCGCCCGTCCACGGCAGCTTTCCAGCCCCAGGATGCTTCCCAGCAGCCGCGCCGCGAGGTTCCAAGTTTTCGCACGCCTCCGCCCGGCCGCGGCAGCTTTCCGGACCCGGGATGCTTCCCAGCAGCGGCGCCTCGCCGAGAGCGTTCTGGGGGTGCCCAGATCGTCCCGAACGGCCGCTGGCCGCCCGTCGTTTGGGCCTGACCGTCGGTCTGGCGAGCATGTTGTCGCCGTCGCCGCCCCGTCACCGCCCGCCAGATTGCGCAACATAGGTTGCACTATTCAGATTACTAGATGCACACGGTTTGGGGTCCACGCTGGCTAACATACATCTATCAATATGTGTGTAAATGGCTGTATATAATAATAGATGTGTATAATGTCAGTTCACGGTGGGGACGTTCGTGAAGTATGCCCACGAGGCTTCGAACAATGGAAGGTGTCTTATCTTATACCTCGTCCCTCCTTCGCTCCTTCCTCCCTCCGCCCCCCATCACCCAGCATCTTGTCCCGCCAAGCGGCAATAGGCCCAGTTTGAAAAAAGATGATGTCCTCAAATCCTTGTTTTTCGAGGTCGACACCCCCCTCCTCTTCGTCGTCGTCTTCGTCCTCCTTCCTCCGCCTCCTCCTCCTCATCCTCCTCCTCCTCCTCGTCCTCCTCCCCCTCCTCGTTGTCCTCCTCCTTTTCCTCGTCCTCCTCCTCCTCCTCCTCCTCCTCCTCCTCCTCCTCCTCCTCCTCCTCCTCCTCCTCCTCCTCCTCCCCTCCTCCTCCCCCTCGTCGGCGTCGGCGTCGCCGCTGTCGTTGCCGCCGTCGCCGCTGGTGTCGCCCTCGCTCCGCTCCTCCGCCACGCCAGCGCCTCCCCTGGCCGACCTGGCGGGCGCGGAGCGCCCCGTCAGCGCGGGAGGCAGGAGTAGGAGGAGGAGGAGGAGGAGAAGGAGGAGGAGGAGGAGGAGGAGGAGGAGGGGGAGGGGGAGGAGGAGAAGGAGGAGGAGGAGGCGGAGGAGGAGGAGGAGGCGGAGGAGGAGTTACGGAGATACCAAAAATGCGACCGTGATTATTATTAGTAAGCTCCCGCCCGTTCAGAGGACATCGGAGAGTCGGAGAGATCGCGAGGCAACACGCATAAGGAGCCTTCCGCTGCCTGACCGCGACGAGGGCCGCGTCGACCAGGAAGCCCCGCACCAAGACAGAGTAGCCGTTCACCATGTTGCGCGTGATGCTGATGTCCCTCCAATTGCCGTGAGGAGGGGGAGGAGGAGGAGTAGGAGGAGGAAGAGGAGGGGGAGGAGGAGGAGGAGGTGAGGGCAGAGGGAGGATCGGGGATCGCCGTTAGCGTTTCGGAGAGTTGTGCGCGTTTCAGGAAGCTCCCATCGCCGCAGCTGGGCGCACCGCGAAATCCTGGCCAGGGTGACCCTCGAATGGACTCTGGAGCAGGAAAGAGAATCGCAAAGGGTTTCCGTCGATCGTCGATCTCCTCATGCGTCTCCTCGGGTTCGTCCTTTGGATTCCCTGTCGGGCTCACAGAGTGCCAGAAAATCGTACAGGTTTGAAACACATCAGCGTGGACCCCAGAGAGGGTCGGGGGACGACTCTGGAACGGATTTGGGGTCGGATGAAGGAAGACGGATGGAGGCGGGAGCAGGAGAGTCAAAAGGTTCAACTGTTTGGGGGCGTTCTTGGCCTTCTGCTGAGCCTCTGGAGGCTTCTGTGACCTCAAACCTCCAGCGAGGATCCAACGAGCATGCCAGGCTCTCTGGCGCGATATTGGAAACCATCTTGAGCAGTCTTGGGCCTGTTCAGCAGCATCCTGGGCGATCTGGCAGCCTTCTTGTACCGGGTTCGCGGCAACCTGAAAACATAGAAATCTTCACAATCCCTTGTCTTCAAGTGGTCGCCAGGCCCACCCCGCGACAGCGCTTGGGTTGTGGTTCAGAGGCTTCCTCGGGAGTCATCGTGGGGCGGAGATCTCGAAATTCAACTCGAGTTTCCTCATTTCGGGGCAATCATCGAAACGCGATATTGGTACCTTTTTTGGCCATCTTGGGCCCGCTTCGGAGCATCCTTCGCGATCTGACAGCCTTCTTGTACCAGTATTGGAGAAACTTGGACAAACATGGAACTCAGCATCTTCCTTTTGTTCAAGTCGCCGCCAGGCCCATCTCACGACCGCGTCTAGGGTAGGGTTCGGAGGGTTTTTTTGATACCTGGATGGGTCTTGTGAGATGCCTCTTGGAGGCTTCCTGGAAACAGTTGTTAATCCTCTGAGCCTCTTGCGGGCCTCTTTGGCCCTCTTCTGCCCCTACTGGGAAATGCCCCCGGAACTCACCCCATGATTCTCTCGAGCAATCCCCTTGATGTCCCGAAGACATTTCAACGCATCCCCAAGACAGCCCGCGAGGTTTCCATGGCTATCCTGGAGTCGTCCAGCACCGTTCGGCCCAACGCGTGTTACTGCAGCAGGCCCCCCTTAGGGCCTTCTTGAGGACTCATCGGGGCTTTGGGGGCCGTCTTGAGGCCCTCCGTAGCCGTCCGAGAGTCTTCTGCGGCCGTCTTGAGCCGTCCAGGGCCGTCGAAAACGATCAAAGCGACACCGATCCCTCCTTCCTAGAATCAGACAAGCATAAGTGCTTGGCCTCCTCAAAGCTTCTTGGGAACGCGCCAGAGATTTTCTTGCAGCGTCTTGAAGGCATCTTGGATTTCGAGGAGGCCATCTTCAGTCTTCGGGCCCTCATGAACCTCTCTGACACCGTCTTGGGTGTATCTTGGGCTGTCTTCATACCTCTTGGAGGCCCCAGGGAAGGAGTATTAGCAAATGGGGGGCATCCTAGGGTTAGCCCATCCAGTCTGGCTGGAACATGGAGATCCCCGAGGCCCAGGATCCATCGAGCTGCTTGCCTTGTACGTTTCCAGGTTCCCCAGTTTGAGGGCCTCCGAGAGCGCCTGGAGAAGGTGTCAAGACGGGCACGAGATGCCCAAGAGGCCCCCAAGACGCGCCAAGAGGGCCCCGAGACGGCCCAAGATCGCTTGAAGAAGCCCAAGATAGCTTCAAGTAAGCCCAAAGGGTCCCAAAACATCCCAATAGGGCACTAAGAGGACCCCCAAGAGGTCCTGAGGAGGCCAAATTCATTCATTGTCCTTGGGTGTTCGAGCGGTTTTAGCGTTATCGCTTTTTCGGCCGTCCAACGCTCCAAGACAGCTCCGGAGGTCCCCATGACAGCACCAAGACAGCCAAAGAGGTCCCCGTGGCGGCCCGAATTCGACCCAAGAGAGCGCCAAGAGGCTGCCAAGACGGCCCAAGAGGCCCTCAAGACGGCCCCAAGACAGGAGCAAGAGCGAGGATCCAAACCGACATTTCGAGCCCAGACGCCAAGAGCCCTGGGGAGGCCCCCAAGGCGCCCCCAAGAAGTCCCAAGAGGCCACCAGGAGACCCCCTAAGAAGAAACGAAGAGGGCCTCCGCAGACCAGAAACCCCCAAGAGCCCTCCAAGAACGTCCCCCTAAAGGCATCCAAAGCGACTCCCAGCATGGTTATGCCAGGCTCTTAGGGGCTCTCGGGCATCCCGCCTGAGGCTGCCCTGGTTCCTCCTCGTGGCTGCATTGCGCGCCTTCCTGCAGCCTTCCTGGGCGCTTTCCAAAAAACAGTTGGGGGATCCGCCCTGCACGCATGCCTATGGCGCGAGGCCGTGCTGGACGTAGCCTCTATTAGATGAGTGAGCCGCGCCCAATGCGGCTTCGACTGACCTTGGCAGCCCTCAGACGGTTTGAGCTGCCCCATATCATTGGCCACAGGTTTACCACGGGACCTCTGGAACACCTCCGAGATAGTTCGAGGGGCCCTCGAGACGCCCAGGAGATTCTCAAGACCGCTGAAGACGGTCCACGGGCCACGAGCCTGCCGAAGCCTCCCAAGCATCACTTTCGGGTAGCTGCTCGGTGTATCTGCTCAGAGCAGCAGGATCTCTGAAGGTCTGCATGTTCAGCGACTCCTGAAGAGTCCATCAGGAAGTACACTCCCGTATGGCGATCCGTGCGGGATGACGTCCATCCTCATCCGAAGCGCATGCGAAGCACGCGTGTGGTTTGATATGCATCTATATATATATATATAATACACAGATATACATACATATATATACATACGTACATACATACATACATGCATGCATGCATGCATGCATGCATGCATGCATGCATGCATGCATACATACATACATACATGCATACATACATGCATGCATGCATGCATAATACACCATACATACATGCATACCTCATACATACATACATACATACATACATACATACATATACATATATATAGATATATAATATATATATATATATTATATATGTATCGTTTATATCGGAGTAGGGCCCAGGGGCCAGGGTCGGCCGGGCGCTGACCGCTGCCAGTAATCTCCAGGGGGGGGCAGGGGCGCCCTCGGGAGCGTCCCGAAGCTCCCGGAGTGCCCCTGGGACCGACGCACGTTCGATGCCGCCCAAGACGGCCCGCGAGCGCTCCAAG